TTTAGTTGAGTTGATTAAATTGATTTCTTTTGTAGTTGTAGTAGATGCGCGCGAGGGGGGTCCTAAAATGGTAAAAAGACATTTGTCAAATTTGACAATTATCAACCAAGACATTTGTCGAAACCCTTAAAATATTTTGTATTTATAACAATAAAATATATATTTTCTATAAATATTATTCTTATTTTATAATTAAAAAATGTTATTAATATTATACATTTGTAAAATAGAAAACAACATAAGTTTGAATAAATATATAAATTATTAAAAATATTATTAATCGGTGTTATTATATACAAATTGTATACTTAATAATATTGTTTTAAACAATTTCAATTTTATTTTAATGTTAATCTTATCAAATGAATATGAATAACATATTATTGTATTTAAATTATTATTTTTTCTGATTAAATATTTATAATATCTTTATATATATAATATATATATTAAATATATATAATGTATATATTCATAACAAATTTTAAACATAATAAAAAGGTATTAAATAAAACATAATTATTATATTATGTAAATTAAATAATTATTTTTAAATTGTTTTTTATTTTAATAGAAAACTAAATTAATCAATATTTTTTTTGTGATTTCGAGGTTTTTTTCTTTGTTCAATTTCTAACATATAGTCAATTTTTTCTTGTTTTTTTAGTGTTTTCTTTGATTTTATCTTTGAAATATTAATGCCACTTATGGCGCAATTTGGGTCATTTTCCATCTTTCCTTCTGTTTTTTTTTACAATATGATAACACTGTTTTATTCAAAAATTGGTTGTACTGTTGAATTGTATTCGTATATTGATTTTATTGTTGACTCAAAATCAATTTCACTATGATAAATTGGTTCGATAATAGTTGATATATTTAAATTTGTCCCATTTTCATCAAAAGTTTTATTTTGTTGTTTTTGCATTATAATATCCATTTCATTTATTAATTTTTGAGATGCATTTATTGCACGAATGGACATATTTTTTCTTGATGCCTTTGTTGTAAAATAGTAGTCAATATACAACTTGCCAATTGCATTTAGATATTGCAGTTGATTTTCAAACTTTCCATTTTGTTATTCAATTTACATCTATGTAATTTGGCATTTTGTTTACAAAGTGTTGGTGTATTTTTTTAACTTGATGACAAAAATAAACAGATAGTTTTAAATAATTATAACTCACTATTATAAATTAAATTGTACCTAAGTTATTTTAATTTTTTATTATAAAAAAAACAACTTAAACTGGTTTCAAAAGAAGTAAATATAATTGTTTTTTTTTTCAAATTGATTTTAATCAATTTTAAAACTTTAACCATTGATAATAGATTAAAATAATCGAATAATAAATTCATTTTATTTTTGGATTAATAATACGAATTAAATTGGAAAATTTAAATTTTAACACTGCTGGAAAAATAATTAAAACATTTGAATTATTTGTGTTTAAAAACGGTAAAATAATTGTTTTTTGAAATACAAATACGTTTCAACAATCTTAAGAAACGAATAATTTGTTTCTTTTGTTTTTCATACTGAAAATATTGAAACTCAAAAGTAGGCCTTTAATAATCAAATAAAAATGAATTGTTTATTGATATTCTTTGTTGTTGCTTCAACTTTGGCTGATGATGGGCGGAAAGAAAAATAAACAAAGGCAAATTACACATTAGCAACAATTCTTATTTGGGGAATGATTTATGCAGTTTTAGTTATATTATCTGTTTTGATTGTATCTGTTATTATAATCAGAAATTGGTTGAATAATTGAAAAGAAAAAGTGGAAGTCAAATTCGATGTGAAAGAATTTTTTTTGTAAAAATTCTAAAAAAAATTCTTTAAAAATTAAATAATAATTCATCTATTTAAAACATGGTTAAGCTTTCCATAATAGCAAAGTTTATAATAAAATCTATAAATTTAGAATAATCATTGTTTAAATAAATTATAAAATATAAATATTTAAAAAAAGAATAAATCCAATTTTTAATAAATAAAAAACAAAAAATATTATTGAAATATTTTATATGATAATTTAAGATAAAATACACCAAATTGTTGTTATATTTAAAATTATGATAGATAATAAGTCGTTGCCTAAATATTACAAACCTGAAAATTTGCCAAATAATTACATACCTCAATATCATTTATTTTTTCTTTTAATTATTTTTAATTATTTGAAAACTATTTCAAGATTAGAAAAGTAACCATACATTATAATAATTATAATTATCATTAATTTTATAACAACTTAACTAAAAAAACTTAATAACATGGTAAAAAACGAAGAAATATTAGTCATCACATCAATTATTATCAATATAAAAAGTTTCATTCAACCATTTTTTGTTGATAATTACATATATACAAACATTAAATATACAACTTATTTTCTTAAAATATCGTTTTATCTTTTTTATATTACAACACACTATCATTCACAATTATATTTCAATAACGCCATATCATAAACTTAAAAATTTAAGTAGTCACTTATTGATTAGCAATTAACAACGATTTTATAAAAATAGTTAGTATAAAAGATATCACTGTTGATCACAACAACTTCAATTGAGAAAAAAAATACAAAAATAAAACATGGCATTTATTTAATGTGTAAAATTGTAACATCAAACTGAAACTTAAAATGATAACATTAAGATTCAGACACTATAACAATATACAACATTTTTAAATACCGAATTTTGGCTCAAAAACATATGTACATGAGATATATAAACATTTTCATTCATCTAAAAGTTTAACATCATTTTTCGTTTGAAACCTTTCATTAAATACTCTAATAAAACATTTTTAATAGTTTTTAAAAACAAGAGTTGAATTGTACTTTGTTAACTTTATAAAAAAATAATGTTATCAATTATTCACATAACAAAATTATCAACACAGTTAAACATTCAAATAAATCATTAACAAATTCATAATATTGTTGATATAAATGCAATTGTAAAATATAATTTCCCTTTGAATAATGACTGTTAATTACATTATTATTCTCAAATTTTAATTATTATTTGGTGTAATTTGTTCGACATTTTGTTGAAACAAAGAAAAAATAAATATAAACAATTGTTTAATAATGTAACGAAGTTGATGTTCAAAATTATCATTAAACGCCTATTTGTTGATAATTACATATAAGCTAGATATTATATGCAATTGATTTTTATTAAACATGGTTTTAATGTTTTTCAAATTACAACACATAACAGTAAACACACTTTTTTATGACTCCACAACTATTATGATTAATTAAAAAAGAAACATTTATTAAATATTAATTCTCAATAATTAAATAACAACAGTTAGTGTTTAATGATTTATAGTTAATCACAATCTTTTTATTTAAAACAGCCTAAAAATTAAACGTAATATCTTTTAAGTATGTAAACATGCACAACCAGACGTATTAATATTTTGCATTGTTTTTGTTTTAAAAACAGGGAACTGGTGTTAACTTTTTCCCATAAAAACGTATTTTTTTATAAAAAACTTAAAACGGGAAAACCTTCGATAAAATAACACTGAAACATTTTTGGGCTTTGGCATTGACTCTGTAAATTTTGGTAAACACCTGGTTGTGTAAACATGTAAAATCAAATTAAACTTTAAATGATGATACTAAGACTAAGACAACATAACATTTTAGAAAATATTATGTTATGATTTAAGGCTCATATGTACGTGCACATAAGATATTAAAATTGATTATTTTAAAAAATTTTAAGGTTTAAATACAACATTTGTTGTAAATTCAAAGATGTTAACAATAAAAATAAAATAATGAAATGTTGTTTATAGTCAGCGAAAAAAACCACTTGGATAAATAATATGGTTCTTTTTTAACAAATTTATAGTTTTATGTATAATTTATTTATAAAAAAATACTATTTTAAGTGTCAATTTAACATAAAAATAGAAAGACCACTCTCTTATAACATTTTCAAATTGCCTTTTGACTTTTTTTGTTTTTAAATTATTTTTTTTGGTAATATGAAATGGTTATTTGCCGTGATTATTAAAAGACTTATTCAAAAAAAATTAAAAAAATTGTTTTTTTATCTGAGAAATTAACATTAAAACTATTTTAACGAATACCATTTTAGCTTCAAAAATTAATCAAATTTTGTTATTATAAAATGTTATTCAATCAAAAAACAAAACGTTAAGACTCAAACCTTTGGCTGAACCTTTGTTCAACACCCCCTTTTGTAATTTTTGCCTTTTTTAGTCATGTTTATTGGGTTCATAACTTGAATACACCTTGTTGGAAACACAATAAATCTGAACAAATTCAACTTGAATTTGTTTTTTAAACGGTTCTATAACGCTCAATAATTTATATTTCACCATTATAATCACTGCACCTTTATTACATCCCCCCTCTTAACCAATACCTCAATTTTTCAAAAGTGCATTTGTCGGCCAAAAACCAAATCTGATATTTCCAAATATATTTCCACAATGTTTTGATATGGGTCACAAATTATCATTTTATTATTCCACTGTCAAGCATCAGCGCAATGAATGTGTGCTGTTCGTTGTGTTGGAAAAAACTCAAATGGAGGGGCATTTTGAAATTAATGTAAAAGTATAACGACTTTAATCGGAATATTAAGAATTAATTATCACTAGTGGTTTTGTGAATTTAGATTTGTCCCTATTGTTTTTTACATTTTTTTCTAAAATTTGCTAATTTTTTCGGCAATCATTGTAATAGTGTCAAGTTTTCATGTTTTGTCTAAAGTAAAATGTTCACAAGTGGTTTTAGTTGTCTCTATTCTTTTTACAAAAATGTTGTTTGTTTGACTCCTTACAAAACTTTTTGGTAAAAAATCAAAACAAAATATTAAATAAATGGTAGCAATCATACATGTATGCCGTAAAAAGGGACACTACTACAAAGTTATAAAACTCGGCATATTGAATATTAGTGGAAAGAAACATCAAATAAACAATATGGAAGATGTTTCCTAGTGGTTTTATTTGCCGAGTGGGTGGATAAATTAAATAATAAATGCAAACATAAAAAACTGGTAAAGATTTATCATTAGAATACCAATTAAATTGTTCACAAGTGGTTTTTATTGCTGGGTTGATAGTTCTGCCAAAAATGCATTCTAAAAATGATATACTTTTATACTCTAATTGGTTAAAATAATTAATAATATTATAATGTAAATTGTAGCAATAGTTTTAATTTGCCTCGAATTAATGATTTGATAAAACAAAAAATGTAAATAATTATATTGATATAAACAGATAAATAAATAGTTAAATATCGGGGAATTAGGATAAAAAAGTAGCAAAAACTTGTAAAAATTGATGATAAAACACAACCAATAAACAAAAACAAAAGATCCAATTTTATAATTATATTTTTACTATAAATTACTATAATAAAATGTTATTATAGTTAATAGTTAAAAAATAGTAATAAATAGCATTTTTTCATGTGAAAAAAGTTAGGGTTAATAGACAAACGACAACAATAATTATATAGTTTTTATTAATTATTACATATAAAACCAATAATACATAGTAAATTAATCATTACAGAACTATTAATCTATAAATCGTTGTGGGACAATTAGTGTTCTTGTTAAGTATTTGTTGATTGATCGATGATCGTATCATAGTTTGTTCTTACATGTAAGCTTGGTTTCATTTGTTTATAATTCAGTTTTAAATAACCAACAGAACAACAAGTTAGACAACAATAAAATTGTATGAACAATTAGAATTCTGTTTAATTATATCAAGTATTTGTGAGGTGTCTCCGCAGCCGTCGGTGAATATTTTTTATTACAATCCACAACACTTTTGTGTAAACCGTGGTAATTATTATAATTGTTAATATTCTTTTTATCATTGTTTTATAATTGAATTATTAAAACACTTTAATTACTTTTCAGTATTTTTATTTAGAAAATATTTTTCGTTTTATTGGCTTTTTCAGTTTGAAAGAGCAATGGCAACTTTGAATTTTGGTGTGCTTTTTCTTTTTAATTGTTTCTGAAAAACAAAAAAAATGTAAAAGAATAACATTTTACCATCGAAAACACTAAAGAAATACAAGTGGTTTTATTCCACAAGTGGTTTTTTCGCTGACTATAGATTGAAAACAATCAATTATAAAATGATTTATCAAATAATTCAGAAACAATACGACTTACTGTGTAAATCATTTAATACTCAAACAATTAACAAACAAAGTCATAAAAATGGTTTAATAAAAAATAATATATTTTAATAATAATAATTCAAAATAAGTGTTTTTATGTTTTTTATTCATTATAAATTGTTTATTTTTTGTTTCGGCATTTTACAAATATAGTTAAGATAATTTAATTTTTTAGTTGTTCATCTTTCAGTTGTCACAATTTAAATAATTATTATATAATATATTATTTTATTATGTTTAAATTAAAAAAATATTTTTCTTTACAGATAAGAGAATTTATATATATAAAATATTTTAATCAAAAAATGTAAATTTTACTACAATTATAATTTGGTAAATTTTAACCTTTCTCAAACTTTGCCGAACATTAAAGTTTGTGAAATTATGGTAAAAACTTTAAGAATTGTATTTGATTAAAATCAAAATTAATATTTATTAATATGATAATTTTAATAAAATTATAAGTTAAATTAAATATCCACATTTTTTATACCACCATATTTACCAAATAGAGAATTCGTTGTTGTTGTATTTTAAAAGAAGTTAACTATTAGTAGGTGTTTATGCGTTTTTTTTCTTTGTCTGTACTAAATATAAACGTGCGCATTACTATTGTAGTGCTGTTGATCCTGATTAATACCATCTTTTTGATTTTTTTGTTTCATTCTATGCCTGTTTTACAATTATAAAGACTTTTTGTCATTGGAAAACTTTAAAACCCCCCTAAAATAATCAATTTCATGTTTTTTATAAACTGTAGTTCAAAAGTCGGTATCGCAGTATTTTTAAATTTCTTAAAGTCCCGTTTTTTATTTTTTATTTTTCCTAAAAAACAAAAAAACAAAAAATCGAAAGTACTGACTTAATTATGAAAAAATACCAATCCGTTCAATTATTTTTGTACAAATTCGGGAATTTATCGGAATATTAGCCAGCCTTTTCCAAAAAACCCGATCCCGTTATTTGATTTGACCACAACTCGATACTTCACAACACAAACTCAACGTTGTTGGTCAAATCATACAACGATAAACACGTTAATAAATTTGGATGTTGTTGTTTGTGTCAATTTGTAACTAAATATCAGTTTCGTTATTTTTTCATTTTAATTAAAAACAAACATGTGGTTTTGTTCTTTAAACAAAAGAAAATCAAATAACTAGTTTTAAAGAAAAAATAAGAGCAAACAATTAATAATTTTGTGTTTTGATATTTCAGTCATTGTTGTGACAACACCATTAGTATATCGATATAACGCGATACGTTGGCGCTTGTTATTTATTTTATTATTATAAATGAAGACTCGACTTTGAAAATATTTGGCATTAAATTTATCAGCTTTTTATAATAAAATGCACTTTGGGGATCAATCACGTGTATTTCAAAAACAAAAATCCCGTTATTTCAAATTTTATATGGAATTTTTTAATGCTTAAAAATTCTTCGAGTAAAAAAATATTTTTTGAAGACTGTTTTTCTCTTTTTTCCTTGGAAAAAATAAGCGAATTTATTACAAAAAACGATTCCCAAAAATAATAAACAAAATAAATGCAAAAAATCGGGACACCCCAGTACAGACTTTTGAAAACCAGTTTATTATATTTTGAGTATAAGGTTAAAAATATTTTGAAATTATTATTTTAAGTAAAAAATTATTGTCAATAATTAATAAAAAGGTTTATTTCCGCTTAAAACAACACTAAACAAAATCAAAGTAGTCAAAAAAATCGGGAAATATCAAGTTTATTAAATAAATTTACGTTTTTAGAGTTTATATTATGTGCAAAACAATACACAAGCCAAAAAAGGAAAATCATCAAAATTTAGATTAATATCACTGTAATTACAGGTCAAAACAAAAATAAGGGCGTCATTTTAAGTGTTAATTAATAAACTTTTTTATTTAAACAAGTCAGTACAAAAAACAAAAAACTTAAATGTTTTGTTTAACCAATTTTTAAGAATGCATTTTAAATTTTATTGCTTTTTGTTTTTTATTTTTTGTTTACGGTTAGACATAAGTACAATTTGATTTAAATTTAATGATAGTTTTTACTAAATATAATAGTTTTTATTCAACTCAAGTTTAAACATGTTATTTCCCTATACATTTTAAAAACTAATAATCAAAAGTTGCAATTAATAAACACGAAACACAACTTGTTATATTAATTTTTAATTGTAATAATAAACCAACAAGTAAAAG